ACACACAACAACAATTTCAGCTGCAATTTCACAGCAAAATTTACAATTTCTACATCATCAACAACCACAACATCCACAATTTCAACAACAGCTACAACAACAACAACAACAAAACCGACCACTGATTTTTTCATCACAGCCACAAAACCAACAACAAAATTTTTTGCCGCAGCTTCAACAGCCACAACAACAGCAGCAGCAAAACGACTCAAATTGGAGTACAGTTGTTGAATTAAGCATGACTGAAGCGCTGACAAGAGCGTGGAGGCAGGCGGCCAACCGGGTCAGGTCATTTTCAAGCCCCGATCGTAACCCCGCAACAAAACCAACAACAACAACAACAACATTTTTAGTTTCGTCAACAACACCAACAACAAAAACATCAGTTAGCAATTCTAAGACATCACCTACTTCGTCAACCGCGATGTCATACTCTAAAACAACAACAATCACAACAACAACAGCAGCTGCTGTGGCCACAACCGCAGCAGCAGCAACAACAACGACTGCCGAGCCACGTCTCAACATCATAGCTAATGCATCCGACATTGTGAGGAATATTGCTTATATTGCCAATAAACCAGCACTAAATCCTCTATCATCAACAGCAGCATCGTCGACGCCATCATCCTCAACTACTTCATCATCATCTTCATCATCATCAGCGACAACAACAACAACAACATCCGCAAATACATCAACAACAACATTAACAACATCAACAACAACAACGGCATGTATTGGCGATGTTCTCAACAGTGCTTATGTTGGCAGGTCTCATTGCACTTCACTCACAAGCAGCTGCACGAATGCTTTTAGTACAACTACAACAACAACAACAACCAACAACAATAACAACAACAACATCAACAACAACAGCAGCAACAACACCAATGATAATAATACATTACCGACTTTCAGCAACAGGAATATTAATAGTGCAGAATCGCCATCAGTGAAACAGTCTTCGTCATCATCATCGTCGTCACCACAACTATCATCATCACCACCCCCATCATCATCATCATCATCATTATCGCCAACCGCAGAAAAATCAACAAAACCAATCAAAAATCCATCATCATCATCATCATCATCAGCACCGCCGACATCACAATCGTCATCATCACCATCAACGTCTCCGAAGAAGTCGTCGAAGCACAAGTCGCAGCAGCACCACCACCACCGGCCGCACCATCGTCAGCAGGACAGTAACAACAAAAACAGCTCCCTACTGTCGCAATCAGCACAGCCAAAACAACTCACACCACAACAACAGCAACAACAACAACTTGAACTTCAACAAGATGACCATCACAACCAACAACAACAACAAGCAACAACAACCACTACAAAAGCAGACATCAGCCCGCTGCTACAAAACGAGAAATTTCTTTTAAAATTTTTCCGCCATTTCAGTCCTTTGCAGTTCGGCAGCCTGGCTCAGGTCTGCAGTACCTGGAGAGATGTTCTCTACAACCGACCGGAATTTTGGTCGGATATCGTTCCGGTGATCAATTTTAGAGACTCCCAACAGACCAATGAACAAACTCGTTGCAAACTTTACTCGAGTTTCCAGAGAAGAAAATTTGATTCTCTGATCTTAATCGGATTATCGAACACCGACGTAATCGATTTAAACCGAAACTTCTCATACTGTCGAAGCGGTGTTCGACGTCTGGCGATCCGACACACGAATATATCCGATCGGTCGTTGAAGCAACTGATCGAACTCGTATCCCACGTCACCGAACTCGAGCTGACGGGCTGCAATGAAGTGACAGAAGCAGGGTTGTGGGGCTGCTTAGTTCCGAGGCTAACTAAACTGACGTTGGCCGATTGTATCAATGTAGCCGACGATAGCCTAGGAGCTGTTTCTCAACTTTTACCGAACCTCCGAGAGCTGAATCTGCAGGCCTACCACGTGACAGACACGGCGCTCACCATGTTCAGCACCAGGCAGTCGAGCAATCTGAAAGCTCTGAGGCTCCTATCTTGCTGGGAGATCTCCAACCATGGGGTTGTTAATGTCATCAGGTAGGTGATGGTGACGATGGTGACGATGATGGTGGTGTAGTGAAGATGATGATGATTAGTCCGTTGATTGTTGGTTGTTTGATTGTTCATTAATTTGTTTTAGTTGCAAAGAGGAAATCGTTCAAATGAAAAATTAGTAAATGAAAGCATTTAAAATGCTTCAAGTTTTAATTTATCTTAAAATTTAACTTTATCTTAAAATTGAACTTTATTTTCAACTTTTCAACACATTTAATAATGATAATAATACCTATAGCACGGGCGGTTTTACATTCATGTGCTTGTACACAAAAACATGGGATGGGTTGAAATTCAGCTTTAAAGAAATAAACTTATTTCAACTAATAATAAGCGGACGAGAAGCGATAACTATACAAAAATTTATGGACACGTATCAAAATAGATACACAGACAGACATTTAGAAAGACAGACAGACAGACATGCAAACATGAAAGTAGACACACACGCATATAAAAATAAAGCTTTCGTAGTTTCAATTTAAAAGATACTTTAAAAGCTTTTCTTCGTGCAAAACAAATTCCTCTTCAACATTCATTGTACATGCATGTGTTCAATTATTTTGCATCTGTGGTCTTAAAAAAGTTGGTTTAATGGTAAAGAGGCCCGGCATGGATGTTGCAGTGATCGAGTTCAAAAGCAAAGAAATCCCCGCCTGTTGCATGCAATAGGTGACGTGCCTACACGCGAGCTGTGTGTTTCAAGATTGAAATTTTTTTTAATGCTGTTCAGGTAAAAAATAAATAAATTCAAGCCAGTGAGCATGTAAATGAATGGTGCCGACTTTGTTTCAGATTTTTCTGGGCTTAAGTTTTTCTGACGTGGCTTTCCTTGGAATATTGGCTTTCAATTTTCGTCTCAGTTAATTTTTTTTTAATTTTTTAATTTTTTTCGTTCTATAAATGTTATGGCTCTGCTTTTTTTCTTGCAAAATTCATACCATGCCAACATAGAAAACACGAAAATACAAATAAACGGTGGAAGAGTCGAAAAAACAAACAAACAAATAAACAAACAAACAAACAAACAAATATTCAACAGATCCCTACCAAACCTGACGACACTCTCCCTATCGGGCTGCACCAAGGTCACCGACGATGGAGTGGAGGTGGTGGCCGAGAACTTGCGGCAACTTCGCACCCTTGACCTTTCCTGGTGCAGTAGAATCACGGACGCGAGCCTGGAATGTATCGCTTGTGATCTCAATTTGCTGGAAGAGTTGGTACTGGATAGGTCGGTCGGTTGGTCGGCTTGTTGGTTGGTTGGCTTGGCTGGTTGGTTTGGTTGGTTGGTTGGTTGATTGGTTGTTTGTTTAGTGAATATAATCATAAATTTTCGAAAAGGAACGTTGTAGAATTGATTGATTGATTAATTATTTGACCACTGAGTCAGAAAACTCGTCGAGCGGATAATTAGTTAGATCAGACTGACGCCAAACAAACAGACAGAAAGACAGACAGACAGACAGACGCGCAGAGCAAACAAACAAAGAAACGAAATATCATTCCGCCGTCAAAACTAAAAACCACCAACATAAAAATTATTGTAGACCAAAAAAAATACAAAAAGAGAAATAGAAAATTTTCTGAACAAAACTAATGTTGTAAAGGCGAGAAAATTATGGATAGTAACAATGAAAGAGCAAATATCTGCATGGCTCAGGTGTTTCTGAGCATTATATATGTACGTTTGTGTACGTATGTATGTGTGTGTGTACGTGTGTGTGTGTCTTTGCAAGTCAAAGAATCTTTACGATATAGAACTTTTCTTCTTTTAAATTTTTCTTTGCCACTGGTCTGCTCGTTGGTTTATTAGTGTTTAAATTGATTCATTTGTTTGTTTCTTTATTTATTTGTTTTTTCATTTGTTTATCATTCATTCATTCGTTTATTCATTCATTCATTCATCTCTCAGTCAGATTTTTTTCATTTTCCTTGCTGTTTCCAGCTAAACCCACTAAATTTTTCAAAAAAGAGTCTCATTTTTTCAACGGGGGCGTTAAAAGTGGAGGAGAATTAAATATGCAAACCATCATCATCATCACCACCACCACCACCTCATCATCATTACCATCACCATCACAACGATCATTTTCATAAAAAATTTATCTTCTCATTCAAACAATTTTGAGACCATTTTCTCCGTTTCTAATTTAATTTTTTTACGTAAAAATTTTCTTTAATTTAAAATCTGCCACCCGAAATAACTTTGACGTTCTAATTTTGCTTTAACGAGCCCTTGGAAACCTCAGTTCATCGCATTTCTATCACATTCTAGTAGGAAAAAAGAAGCAATTGCTGTCACTTGGGTGGAGGAGTTGATGTAATGAGGTTGATGTAATAAGGTAATGAGGTTGATGTAATGAGGTTGATGTAATGAGGTTGATGATTCGGATGATGTTGACGTTTAAAGTTAACTTGTGGAGGTAAGGGCAACTGTTTGATGGTTCGTTCCGCCATGAAATAAGAAGAAAAAACTTGAAGTTGGAAAAAAATGTGGTTGATGTTCTGCAGATCTGAAGATGAAGAAGAGAGAAAAAGAGAGAGAGAGAGAGAGAGAGAGAGAGAAAAAGAAAGAGTGGGTGAGTGAGTGAGAGAGAATGAGAAGTAACCAAAAAATTCTTAATTGACTGATGTTCATCTTTGTAAAATGATGGATGGATGGATAGATAGGAAAATAGTAATGAATGAATGAATGAGTAAACAGCTAAACAAATAGTTACAAACACACGCAGACATTCCCAGATACCGGCAAACGAACTTAATTAGACATTTTAAAAGCCCATTATATTTCCACATTGAGGATTTGAAAGGAATCATATTCCTTCCTCCATTCATTCATTTGGCTGTCATTCATTCCTTCATTCATTTATTTAATAATCCATTCTTTCGTTCATTTGTTCATTCATTCATTATTTTTATATAGTTTTATCATTTTTCTCACATGTTTTTCTGAGAAAATTAAATTTTGGAGACATTATTGTTGTTGTTGTTGTCATAATTACGTTACCATCATCATCATCATCATCAAACACATCGTCATCATCACCATCGTCATCATCACCATCGTCACCATCATCGTCATCTTCATCATCATCATCGTCGTCAAGTTAGTTACTTCCTTGCTGTTGGCATTATGTTTGAGTGTTTTCAAAGCAGACTGCGCTAGTGATGATAATGATGTTAAAACGATGATGATGATGATGATGATGATGATGACGACGATGACGATGATTATGATGACGTCATCATCAACAACTGCCTCCTAGCACGTATTCACATAAATCAAAGGTATGTGACATGACAACTCGGCCAGTTTTTATAAATTTTCACTTTTGAATATTTTTTTTCTAGGATTAATGATGAGGCGCTCCATTTTATCTGTTAAGTCATCTGTCTTCTTTATTATGATTAACTTTTACTATCATCATCAATATTAATAATGCCACTCTTAAAGTTTTTGTTGAACCATTAACTAACAATCGTTAGCTCATTCAAATCCACACGTTAATCATATGCTAACTAATGCTAATCATATGTTAATTTATGCTAATTAGATGCACGCACGTGAGTGACGTGGGCGTGGGCTTTCTGGCGACGATGACGTCATTGCAGCGTCTCTACCTGAGATGGTGTGGTCTGGTTAGGGACTTCAGTTTGCAGCACATCTTCTCAATGAGGAACCTACAAGTTCTTTCGGTCGCAGGTTTGTGTGTGTGTGTGTGTGTGAGTCTGTGTGAGTGTGTGTGAGTGTGTGTGAGTCTGTGTGAGTGTGTGTGAGTCTGTGTGTATTTTAGGTGTTTTTTTGTTTTGTTCGCTTATAAATATTTAAAGTTTTTCAGCGAATTTAACATTTTTACGAATTTCAACAAACAAACAAACCCACATAAATTGTCTCACACACCACAGACACACACACACACAAACACACACACACACATTACGACAGGCTGCAACCTAATAACAGCAGCGGGAGTTGCCGGGGCAAGCCAGCTGACCACCCTCAGAGAACTTGAACTAACCAACAGCTCCGTACTGGCCTCTGCCGAACTTGTGCAGTACCTACACGAGAGTTTACCTGGTTGTGTTATTATCCAGTAGAATGTGTGTGTGTGTATGCGTCTGTATGTGTGTGTGTGTGTGTGTGTGTGTGTGTGTGCGTCTGTATGTGTGTGTGTATGCGTCTGTATGTGTGTGTGTGTGTGTATGCGTCTGTATGTGTGTGTGTAAATTGTGTTCGTATATATGTTTGTGTGT